GTATATAACAATTAAGTATTTTAATTTTTATTTAAATAGTACAGTAAGTGTACTATTTATTTATTTAATACACGGGATAACCCCATTAACAGTTTAAATTACAATATACAATATCACAGTTAGGATTCAAAACTTGAAATTGCTATATAAAATCAATATTAAAAAGTTTAAAAAAATGAGACTAAAAATCTTACATACTAAAAAACAAACAAAGTATAACAAGAACAAAATTTAACTGAGTTAAAGTTATATTGAAAATATTAAAATCGCGATCATTTAATAGCCCCTTGTATCTATTCCATGGGTTGTGAATACCATAGGTTGTTCTGTGGAAAGGAATATTGAAAACATTATGGTACCGTAGAGCTTGATGGGGAACATTAAAGTTAATCTGGCTTAACAGGTTTGGACAATCAATAAATCCATGTATGATCTTATATATAAATATAGCTCCTAACATGTCACAACAGTTCTTGAGTGAGGGTAAAGATAATTGTTGTTCGGTACAGAAATAATCATGATTTTTATGCTTGTATTGCTTATTTAATACTTGCTTTCCATCACGAGCTACAAAGAAAAAAAATTAAATTATAAATAATTATATAGTATCCATCTAATATGAAGTTATCATAGGTTAAGTGTCTTACTTACATGTTTTGCTCCGATTGCAATTTAAGTATGTAATATTTTTATCTTGCTTATATTTAGACACAACATAGAAGCTGCAGGATGTTTCTTCCATTGATTGTTTCAAAATAATAAATTCTTAAACAAAAAAAAATTAAATTAGGAAATGTCCATTACTATATATTTTTAATTATATTTTATTAAGTACATAGAAATATTCTACAATATTTTAACAAAATATATCCTACTAAATTAAATATTAAAATAAAACTTACCATCCATATTTGTAAAATTAATTGTTTGACTTTCAAACTTTAAATTATGAACATTTTCCAAATGATTAGTTAAAAATTTTCCTTGCTGAAAGGAATTATCACAATCAAGTTCCAAACATTTAAAACCCCATACATTTTTAGCATAAAATATGCGTTCAATCTGTTTAAAATGAATTTGTGTGACGTGTCTATTTAAAGTAAATTGTGTTGAAAACATTTTATCACAATATTTACACGTTACAGGCATTTATATAAAAAAAATAATAATAAGGCATCAAATCTAAACATAAGAAATCAAATAAAGTTAGGTTAAGTCCAAACAAATTCATAAATGTCAAACTGTCAAATTCATACTGTTCCATTCCCAAAAGTTTAGGTGGTGGGGGGTGCCTAGTCGGGAAATTAAGCTCTCGTCGCGTCATTTCGGTGGCGTCATGTAGATATAGTTACGCACCCTGGCACTAGACAATGCACCAATCGTTGTTTTACTCGTTAACATTGGACTGGCACTGCTACGTGGGAGTGTGCTGTGGAAATAAAATGACACGGAACAACGCGTCATGTATATATATAGTTACGCACCCTGGCACTAGGCAATGCACCAATTGTTGTTTTACTCGTTAACATGGGACTGACACTGCCAAGTGGGAGTGTGCTGTGGAAAAAAAATGACACGGAACAACGCGTCATGTATATATATAGTGACGCATCCTGGCACTAGGCAATGCACCAATCGTTGTTTTACTCGTTAACATGGGACTGGCACTGCTAAGTGGGAGTGTGCTGTGGGTATACAACGTATATATTATACGTCATTGGTGTAAAACTTGTAAAAGAAAAGCTTTTCAAGGACAATGCTATTTTGCAGATATTATGTTATTTGAATGTTATTTTCTCTGTGACTATCCCTACAGGGTCGGCTTTCGAATTTTCGAAGTTTCTATCTTGGGTTATGCAATATTGATCCTCTTGTCTTGATCTTCTTTGATCTTTCTCTCCTACTCACTCCAACAAATTGTAACTCAGCGATTCTTCGTATTGATGGATGATTGGTGTTGAAATGACATAATCTTCTGGATATACTCAACATTTTGACATTTGAACCATCCTGCTCTAATTCTATTACGTACATCTCCATCTAAATATTTTATATTTTCAAGAAGGTTTGGTTCCTTGGCAAGCTTGGCGATAAGTGGCGCATAACTGAGCGTTGACTGTACATAAATCTTGGAAGGATGTTGGTTCACGTACATACATGTCCTGCATATCTACTGAACTTCCCTATATCAGCCATTGGGACGCATCGTGTCGTGGTTGAGGACTCCTCCCCAAAATCTATAAAAATCCTACAAGGCGTTTCCGGGATAATCATCGTTATGTACATAAAATTAATTCGTACGGCTGCACCGTACTGAAGACGACCAATAGTCAGAAATACGACCAATCAGTCAGATATACCATTTTTTTGTTCTGTTTTGCGAGACATGCCGTTACTTTTTACTAAAATTCATTCTGTTTATGTAGACGGTCATTACGGTCCATTACGGTCAAATTACGGGTGACCATTACGGTCAAAAAATTACATAAAAGCATATGTATATTAAAATACTTGCAATTATGTTACATACATACATTATTCTAGAGGTTTTAATAAAAAAAAACACTGTTATATTGCTGATTTTATATCCGTATCTCTTTTTATAACATTTTTAATAGTTATAGTAAAAATTTAACATTACAAAATCCAATTATTAAAATTTTAAAACTACATAACAAATCAGTATATAAAAAATGATAACAATGGTCAATAATTTTATTATCACGTTTCTTATCTACATTGTTAAAAATAATATCCGTTGTTACTTACTTCTAAAATTAAAAAACGAGTAGATAATTCTGAGGGCATATATTATAGAAGGGACTTATATTTCTACAAACTTTTGCTAATTCAAACACCTTTGATGTTCTAGAAGTGTGGATACTTCTCTGATAATTTTCTTAAATCCCCTGTAGCAGTGGTTCCCTTTATTTTGAGGTAGACTAAATAAGGAAACTTGGAGCTGGGTTTGCAAATTCTTCTTTTTACTGAACCAAATTGTGAAGTTGATGAGTTGTTTTCACCTTCCTTAATTACACTCTTTACCTACTTCCGAGTCACCAAATTCTTGAGCTAGTCGCTACAGTAAATATGAAGAATATGTGCAATAGCATCGATCTTTTTCCTATTTCTAACGATGACACCGTCAATGTTGGCCATCTCTCTGTATGCCCGTACTTCCACCAACAACCTACCACTACCATCGACGTACATTGGAGATGGAACACAGACAAAAATATTCTGTAAAAGTTCTGCCTTTATATCCTCAGATGAAAGTTCAATATTTTTAGAAAAACTTCTAATATCTCATGAAAGTTTACATACACGTGTGTTGTACTTGTAATTTTAAATTCAGATGTCTGAAAATGTGCGCAAAAAATGCAATAGTTGCAATGTTTTCTGTGCCAAAGAGAAAGTTAAATGGTCATTAGCTGCATCGTTATTACTGGCGGACAAATTCTTTATTGCTCTTTCTTTCAAAGAATCTTTTAAGCTCTAAATCTTTGTTTAGCCATCTCACGTTGTTATGAAGAAGCAAATCGTCAAACTGAGCATTAGTGTTCTCTAGAAATGATTTAAACTGACGATGCTCAGTAAACAACCTAAATAGTTGTTTAAATGTTTTTTCGAGGATTCATTTTATTGACACTAGCTGACAAATTTTTCAAATCTGAATATCCCTTTCTCACCCAAACATTTTGCTTCAAATTTGAAAGCAGTAGATAAGGGCAACAAAAAAGGGAATTTCTAAAATTACTACCGGATAACCATTTATGGTTTTTTTACCATATTGTTTAAAACAATCTCGAAAATGGTCGATTATCCTTCTTATCTGTAAATAAAATTTGTAAATTTGGCAAAGAAAGGCTTATTAAAATAAGTTCGAATCTTTCTTGATTTCAGCGTCTTGAAAAAAGCGTTAAACTGCAGATTAATCGCCTATGAAAACGATGATTTTCACTACTAGCCGTGTTGCTCCTGTGTTCTCTTTTAAGGCGAAATTTTGAAGCATCCCTCAACTACTACTAGGAGCACAAAATAATTATATAAAATAAATATTGTACATTTGAAGAGGTTAGGCGGCGCCTACCTTGCCTACCCCGACGGACCGTCCATGACATCAATATATTTTACATTTGTGGTTTTCAGAACGTAATTTTTTGTTATATATCTAAGGTATCTCAACTTCACACTTTTAGTTAAAAAATGGCGCCTTTTTTATGTTTTCATCTTATATGTGATAATTTGTTCTGTTTGAAACAAATTCCAGTTCCAAAAGCTAGTTTCGAATGCACGACCCTCTCTCCACCAACCATCTATACTACGTTCCACGTTTAGAAAATAACATTGCGGAGATAGGGCCATGTATTTCTTATGGACGACAGCAACGCGGCGTTGCCACGACACACACAAGCACAATTTAGGGTTGTATAATTTGTATTTTCGTTTCCACAAACATGAATTAAATTAATGTTTTTTAACGTAATTGACCAAAAGTGCCCATTCGAAACAACAGTGATGAAAAGTAGGGAAAATGATTTTAATTAGATAAATAGTATTTACAAAAGATAATTTTATTTTATCTTACTTTAATTATAGTAACGACATTTTATTTGTTTTTCGGTGAGAATACGATATGCCATGAATCATAGAAATCAGTAGAAAATATTGAGCGCTTGGAATGCGTATATCTAATTACTAATTGCAACTTAAAATAATACGATGTGCCTATGTCAGCTATTTTATGTCGTTCTCTGACTACATAATGATAATAAGGCTTTTATTTAGTAGTTATTCTGACTTTACAGTTAAATGTTAATTGAAAATGAAAATTCAAAAATTAAGCAAAGGGAATATCTTGGATATCCGTGCAAAAGAGAGTGTCTGAGAGTTTTGGCAACACTGATCTCCATAAGCGTAATGTTATTTTCTTAACTTGAAACAAAGAATAGCTGCCATTGGTATACTGTTAATAGGATGGTAAAATAAAACCAGGTATTGTGAGTGGTAGCCGCATTTAATATTATTTATACATAATTCCACAAAATATATTATCAACTTTATAAAAAACTGTTCAAAGGATTTACAACTGTCAACAATGACAGCACGGAACACAACCAGTCTCATACATTCTCCAGTAAATGAAGAGTTAATTATTTCCTATTCCGATAATATAAATAAACCTAAATCCTGAACAAATCATGCGAAACTGACAAAACGATAATAGTAAAAAAAAATCACAAAAATCTGTACAAAACAAATCTAAAAAAATATAAGTAAAGTTCTTTATAGTTAAACTAACAAATGCACTTTTACGCTCTACAACTCATCTTTCTTGGAAGCATCATCGTCTTCAGCATCTTCTTCGGCAGAATCTTCGGAGTCATCTTTACCGCCAGATTCTACGAATTTAGCAAGGCCTTCGAATGTTCTTGGGCCGAGGTATTCAACGGCTTCGTTACTGCCTTTGGTGTACAATTTGATGGTTGGGTAGTTAACAACTTTGGTGTGTTCTAATTCGTTTGCAGTGGAGTCCATTTTGGCGATAACGACGTCGCTGTTGTCCTTGAAGTGTTCTCCGAGTTTGTCGTAGATGGGAGCGAGGTTTTTGCAGTGGCCGCACCATGGAGCGTAGAATTCTACGAGGACGTCCTTTGAGCTGTCAAGAGCGACGCTATCGAAGTTGCTGCTAACCAATACCTGCAAAAAAATATTGTAGTGAAAATTAAAGTTAATTAAACAAATATTTCTTTATGTAATTTTATATTAGATGTTCATTCTCTGAATGTCATATCTATCTATAGCCCCGAGGACTGCAAACCTAAGGCATTAACGAGAGGCATTCTATGAACAATTTTAAACTCTCATGGATGGAATACCTCATGAAGAGCCTTTAATTCTTATGGGTGACTTTAATGCACGAAGCGAAAATGAAATAGTTCCAGGAGTAAAACAAAGATTTAATGCAAATCATGACAACGCAAATGCAGAACTCATGGCTAATATCTGAGCTTTTAACGAACTGAGAATCAATAATACATTTTTCGACCAGAAGTTCCAGTATAAATATACATTTGAAAACTCCAGGGGACACAAATCTATGATTGATTTTATAGTTATTAATAGAAAAATCTAATAAATATCTTCTAAAGCTCTGGAGGGATTAGGAAATGCCAAAAGGTCTTAATCCCAATGAAAGAAAAATCCAAATCTGCAACCACCACGTGGTAGAAGATGGGCAGCAACATCTATCTATAGATGGCCAATGCAGATAGGAGCCGAGTGATTGCCGGTATAAGCAATCTTCCCCTTACTGTCCAACGGCTTCGAGCGGATGAGATATATATATATATATATATTATATATATATATATATATATATATATATATATATATATAATATATAATATGTTGTATTGTATGCTGCTGTTGTCACAATTAACTAACTTACCTTGACAGGTTGTTTGTCCCAATCTTCAGGCAATTCTTGGTTCAAAAGGTGTTGCTTAAGTTTACCATCCAAAAAGTCTTGGACGAAGTTCTTGAGGTTTTCAGCGGTTAAATCGTCAGATTCTGGCTTGTATTTGGCCATATCTTCTTCCAATCTGATGAGACGAGCTGCTGGTACAGTGTTCTTCTTGATTCCGAAGAATTCCATGATCCTTTGGTTGTCTTCTTGTTCGGCATCGATGCTGACGAAGAGAACCTGTGAAATGAAATAAGCGTTTAATATTAAACACATAAAATCATAATGATTTGCTCAAAAAACAATAGTTAACGATTTGTAAAATCTCTTACCTCTTCTTTGAATGGTTTAGCTACGGATCTGGCGGCCTCGGAAATGGTATCATATGCGTCTTTGTCCTCTCTGTTCAAGAACAATAACAAATGGCTCTTAATTTCACCACCGAAGATCTTTTGGGCAGTTTCATGGTTGAATTCTACCAACAGAGGTAAGGCATTGGATTGGATGAATTTTTTGAGAGCATCTTCATCAGCGTCTCCTTCGTAGGCTACTTTGCGTTCGTCGAACTGAAAAATAAAAATTATTAAAATTTTCATAATTAAATATCATTAATGATAGTATAGTATGCCGAGGTTACAAAAAAAAAGACCAATCAAAAGGCAAATCTGCAAAATATTCAATTGATTCTAACAGCTTATGGTTCGCGAGCTAAATAGAGGTACACCATTTTGAATAGGTTTTTAAGTAAAAATATTGACGATTTATAATAAGATCAACAACCTACCTTCTTGAACAAAACGATGGTATTGTCGGCAACTTCAAATTCATCACGTAGAGCTTGCTCAGCTGAGATTCCGAATGGAATATCGTCCAAACCAGCAGCAACTTTAAGGAAGTTCTTGGCATTTTCATTATCAGTGGTTTGTTCACTGAAGAAACCAACGACAACTACATTGTGTCCTTCGATGAATTCTTTGGCTTCTTCGACGGAGCTCAAAGCTTTAGCTGGAGGGCCAGTCTTCTTTGCCAACCAGTTGACGATATCGTCGGCTTGTCTTCCTCCTGTAACAATAAAACATTTTCAAATTGGACAACTTCAATAAGAGGAGGATTATATGCTGAACACTCACTAATATGATACATCAAATCTTAATTCTAAGTGACAAAAAAACACTTGAGATCCATCTTATATGAATATTGGGTTTTCCAATATTTAGCAATGCATCTGAAATATGAACCTTCCAATCAGCAGATAGAAAAAGAATCGAAGCATTTGAAAGGTGGTGTAGGAGAATAGTGTTTAGATTACCTTGGATAGCCAGAAGAACAAATACATCTATTCTTGCAGAATTTAACAATCCACAACATCTTTCCAACTTTGTATTAATATTGCTAATTTTATTATTAGTATCAATATTTCCTATTTATTATATTTCTAATGATTAAAAATGTACCCACTGCACAAAGACAGAGATCTACTGGAGTGTAAAAATTGCAGAGCCAAAACCTCCTTGAACACAGAATACTTTACAATACAATAACACCAGTATAACAGTTAATACTTGGAAGAAGTCATTGGTGAATACCAAATTAATATTAGATCCAGTATGTCTGCAACAGTCTGAATCATCGAGCTATGTCAAATATTAAAAAAAAACTAACCAGGGAATCAGTTGGCTGGTATTGGCAGACCAATCCTCATGTGGGTTATTTTAGCAAAACACGCCCACGGCTTGGTGATGAGGTTATTTTGGCAAGTACGTCAAAATTCACTTAAGACAGATTAATAAGACCGAAAACATTTGTTCCCAACAATTTCAATAATTGTAAACCTTTTGCATTTTTAATTTAATGTTTCATTGAATATATACCAATGTTTTTACTTTATTATAAAGTTTTTTAACTACAATGGTGTACAGCCAGACCCCGGGAACTTTCCTACTTTGAGCCTAAAGATGCAATTCATCCATGCAGATGCATGTTGTGATCCGTGAAAACGGTATGAGCAGAAGGGTGGTGTAACTTCATAGGAAATATAAAGAAATAGCAGATGGCGGGAGTGTAAAAACCATTATAAAATGCTTGAAAGTACATAAAATATCAGTATACAAAAAATTTATGACGACGGCCCAGAATTGTGTTATCATGTTTCTTATCTCTATTGTTAAAAATAATATCCGCTGTTATTTATTTCTAAAATTAAAAAACGAATAGATAACTCTGATGGCTCATATTACTAAACCCAATTTCTACAAACTCTTGCTATTTTGAAAACTTTTGATGCAGTTACTCTAGAATCCTGAATTTTTTCTTATAGTTTTCATGAATCCCCCCCATGTTGTATTATCTTCCCATTGCAGAATGGTAGAAAAAAAAGGTATCGCAATATAAAAACAGTTGTTAATTTAAAAACCTTTGAATTTTTCATATTCACGAAATAATAAAGGACCTGGTATTGATACTGATAACAGCTGAATTATTAAAAAATGGAAGATCAGCACTATGGAAACAAATATACGGATTAATCAACGAAAAATGGGATGATGAAACAATCCTTGAACAATAGAAATGGAGCCTTATACCCACCATTCGCAAGAAAGGGAATAAGCAAGAATACTCTAACTATAGAGCAATTATACCTGTGATTTCGAAGCGTTTTACATTTTTTCTGTGAAAAGGGCACATCTTCATATACCACAAGTCAATGTAAAGGGCAAACAAAAATTTAAATCTGTTTGAAAATGGCATTGGACTTATATCCCTTTCTAATGAAACGGAAAGGAAGTTTTTATTAATGGACTTACGTCCTTTTCGAAATTAGTGCACGAGATGCAAAACTCGCTAATCGACAAAAATTGAAAAAAGTAGTTAAGCACGCCATCTTGTTCGTACAATATTTAATTATTATTTTATACAAGTATTTGGAGCAAAACTAGCTTTTTAACACACGAAAATATCCGTCCCAAAAATCATGACTTGATGCAAAACTCGCTTTATGCATTGATGCGTGCGATGCAAAACTCTCTATTTGTACGGCGTTCAATCACAGCATCTGATTTTACTCACGTGGTTAAGGAGGGGCATCATGCATGTTGTTTGTTTCCTTGTGTGGTTTGACCGTTTGACTCAGTCGCGTTTTAGCGATATTCTGAATTGTTTGTTTAACTTGAAGTTTCCCGTTTTAAAATTATTAAAATGCAAATAGACAGTGAAATTTCTGCAGCCAATGATAGTGTTAGTTCTGCAATACAACCTACTCCAAAGAACATGTGTAGAACGAAAATTACGACGGAAAGTAAAAGACAAAAGCTCAAAAGATTAAGGTAATAAAAACGATATCAATTTGTTAGAATAGTTTTTTAAAACTGTGTTATTTTAGGCACACTCCGACACATTTACCGGAGTACCCGACCTGTGGACATAACGGTCAGCCAAGTAAGCCGTACAACAATGAGCGAAATTCAAGATTTTCATAGAAAACTGTATGCTTCTAAGGAAAAATGTAGACAAGATAGTTTTATAATTGCAACTTGTGAAGGCTAGAAGTGCAAAAGATCAAAAGTGGAAAAGGAAAAAATATCCATTTTGTATTATATAACCACTTCTGCTAAAAAAATCCGTGTTTGTAAGACGGCATTCTTAAAAATCACATCTCTTAGTAGATATCAGATTGAGAGAGTCATAAAAAACTTTGTTTTAAAAGGGAATATACCACGAGAAACGAGAGGAGGTCATCCTTAATAAAAACGATGATAAGTTAGCAATAAATGCTTTTCTCTTCAAAAATTGTATGAGATTATTAAAATTGGCCTATCATTAAAACACCCTGATCTGAAATTAAGATCAGAGAAAGACTGTTGTCATAAAAATACGTAATTTTCACATTGTTTTTATTTAAATAATTCCGCCGTAACCTGTCGGTTTTTAATGTATTGTGTTGTTTTTCATGACGTAGTTTATGTTTTAAAAGTAGAATTCATTTACATACAAATTCACATTTTTTAAATTTCTACAAACAAAAAGTGATAAACAATAGTACAGAATTTTAACAAATTGCAAACAAGTTTATCGCAAATATGTCCATAATGTCGAAACATAATTACTGAATATCTTTCCGTGACAGGCTAATATCTCTGAAAATGTATAGCTTGTAGGTCAGTCGGGAAAACAACGTTCCATAATGAAACAACACTTTTTTCATCAAGGATATATCCTCAATTAATGAGTGGGTTACTTCCAGCTGTTTACCGTTGGAATTAGATGTAATTTATATCCGATTCCTAACGAGAAAAACAGAAGAAATTGTATAAGACGTATCGAAAGAGAACTTGTGTTTAGAATATACACTGCGATTTTCTTGGACTAACCCAATCCAATTTCAGCACTTTTATGAATTATGACCATAAAAGTAAAAATAGATTTCTGAAAATTTAAAATAGAATGCCGACGCGCTGTACAAAGAGGAAGATAACAATTATTGTTATTCAAATTTCAAAAAACTGCAGATTTTTCGAAGTAAACTAGGATCAGTTTCCAACTACTTTAGAGCCCATTCATGTCGTTGTCTATGATCATTTAAAAAACATTTTTCGAAGTATTAGTATAGAGAGTATTTATTAAACTTTCAAATTTAAAAATTTGAAATTTAAAAATGCAATATGAACCTACTAAGTTCTTTTTTTTTATTTCAGAGGCCTTGCTGCAGTTCTTCAAAAATACCTGACTGTTCAAGAACTATTGATGTAGCCTTTGGAGAATGCGACGAGATAGATAACTCTATACGTCCGGCTACTCTGTCGGATGAGGACGTCACTAACTTGCCGATGCAGAAGTTAGAACTGCTGATGGAATTATACTATTCTTTGTTTCAAGTTAAGAAAATAACATTACGCTTATGGAGATCAGTGTTGCCAAAACTCTCAGCCACTCTCTTTTGCACGGATGTCCAAGATATTCCCTTTGCTTAATTTTTGAATTTTCATTTTCAATTAACATTTAACTGTAAAGTCAGAATAACTACAAAATAAAAGCCTTATTATCATTATGTAGTTAGAGAACGACATAAAATCGCTGACATACGCAAATCGTATTGTTTTAAGTTGCAATTAGTAATTAGATATACGCATTCCAAGTCCGTTTATTTGCTTTTAAAACTTTAATAGGCGGCAAAATGCATGATTTAACTAAGCAATATTTTCTACTGATTTCTATGATTCATGGCTTACCGAAAAACAAATAAACTGTCGTTACTTTAATTAAAATAAGATAAAATAAAATAATCTTTTGTAAAAACTATTTATCTAATTAAAATCATTTTCCCTACTTTTCATTTCTTGTTTCTAATGGACACTTTTGGTCAATAACGTTAAAAAACATTAATTTAATTCATGTCTATGGAAACGAAAATACAAATTATACAAACCTAAATTGTGCTTGTGTGTGTCGTGGCAACGCCGCGTTTCTATCGTCCATAAGAAATACATGGCCCTATCTCCGCAATGTTATTTTCTTAACGTGGAACGTAGTATAGGAGAAAAAAATTTTATTCAACAGTCAGAATCGACAGAATTTAACATTTCTTTGGCAAATGATATCGATATTACACCTGCTCATATGGTATATCCAAAAGTTTCTGAATCTTCGGATTGGGTTTCGGGAGATTTCATATAACGAGAAACAATTTCTTGAGTCAGATTATTCACTATTTGAAAACAAATCAGTTGTTGATATATTCGAAATGTTCATAGATGAAGAAATCATTTTATTCCTGGTACATGAAACATTCAACCTATTGGACCCAGGAGTCTCGCCAGAGGAAATGAAATGTTTCATTGCTGTATTGATTCTTAGTGGTTATAATAATCTTCCAAGCAAACGTATGTATTGGGAATAAAGTCTTGACACTAGAAACGAACTTGTATATAATGCTATGAGACGCAACAGATTTGAGCAAATTTTGAGGCTTATTCACTTGAATTCTGACGCAAATATTGATAAGGTTGATAAGCTCTGGAAAATACGGCCATTTATAAATAAAGTCAAGAACAGATTCAGAAAGTATTCCTGAAAAAGATCTAGTTTTGAAGGAAAACCTGTAACTCCTGATATTGACATAGAAAGAATCTTTGGAAAGGCGGCAGCCTCTGGTGAAAAGTATAGAAAAACTATCTGATAATCTGAAATCTTTTCCATTCTTATTTTACTTTAACAATTTATTTAATACCTTCAGTTTATTGTCTTATTTACGTTTGAAAGGATAGGGAGGCACGGGAACTATAAGAGAAAACCGTTTACCTAGGAGCTGTCCTTTATTAGCTAAAAAAGATATTCAGAAAAAGAAATGGGGATACTATGAAAGTACTAGCTAAGTAGGTCGATAATTCCGTAGTTTGCATTGCTTCAAACAGATATGGTATCAATCCAATAACAAATGTTAGACGTTATTCGCAAAAGGAAAAACGCACATATAAGTTAGCAGATCAGCAGCACTTGCAGAGTATAACAAAAAAAATTGGTGGTACTGATCGAATGGAACAGAATGTTGGACAGTACAGGATTCAAATTAGAAACAGAAAATGGTACTGGGCATTGTTTACATGCCTTCTTGATGTTTCAATCAATAATGCGTGGTATTTGTATCGAAAATCAAACAACTCTCAGATGTCAAAATAGACTTTCAAAGGGCTATCGTGCAAGTTTATTTGAAGAAATATATGTCATCTTCCGAAGGCAGTGGCAGGACTCCATCTCCATCTTCTAATGCGCAAAGAGTAGTCGATGAAATTGGATATAATAGGATGGAACATCTAGTAGATAAAGTTTGCCCTTTATAACCTAGGTCACATTACATAAATTCCTGGATTACAGTGTAAAATCACCCGTTTTCCCCCACAGCCTGGGCTATTTGCCAACTCTATACTTATGTGTAAAAATTCATAAAAGAAGAAATTTATTTATATATAAATTATATGATTGAAATAAAAATCCACCTTTTATTTTTAAACTACCTTATCTATTATGTTTAGCATTATCTTTTATGATACTAGTTCGTATTTGTTCAATTAATGCAGTTAATGACATTTATATTTCTAGATATGTTTTTGCTATTAAAATCTAATTCATATTAGAAAGTTTGGGAGTCACCAAATTGAATTATAATCACTAACATTAAAGTAACTAGAACCTTCGGAACTTTATTATATGGAATGCAGATAAATAATTGATGCTTTTAATACCTATAAAAAAGATCAGCAACAACACTTAATACAAACTCGTATTTGACATTTAAAGACTTAAGACTTATGAACTTAAAATAATATTAAAGAACATCAACTCAAATCTCTTACCTGAAATCAGTCACAACAGAAATTAAGAGATCTCTAAGTAAATGAAATATGAGTTAACTGGTTGTTTATTATTAGTTGTCTGACAGATTAGTGGTTTTTGCTTATCAGCATCAATTTGCTTTTGTTCAGATTTAGATTGAGTCTGTTTTCTTCTATAGATCTTTGAATCCTTATCACGGGATGCTGTAGTTCTTATTGTTAGCAAGTACTACTGTGTCATTAGCTGATCTACACATTAGATTCTTCTTCTTCTTCCTCTTTATATGCAATTCTGCTTCTTCATTGACGAGTTAATACCTCTATGGAAGATTGTCACTCCTGCTTTTGCGCGGTCGTTCGATACTTCTGACGCAAACCGTGACGACGCCATCTTGTGGCACCAGTTCCGTGACGCACGCTCAGCATTTTAGAAAGAAAAAAAAGTAACATAAGTTCGCTTCAAAAAAATAGGAGCCACTTGCTACTGGTATTGAGATATACAAACATTGTATATTGTAATATATGGACTTCATTCTTTGCATTAAAATTCTAACACAAACATTAATCTCTTTTTAAATATTGTGTCATTTTATGTAAGCTTATGCAAATTTAGTATATATAAAAGGTTATTTTTAGAACTGAATATTCATATCTATTGATAATATGTATTAAGCTTTTCTATTTTTAAAATTTTAATTCATAAATTTTTTCTTTGCAAAAATTGACTTGTATAGCAGGGTTACATGTATAGTTGTTTATCTGATCTTCTCTTCTTCATCATCGTGGCTTCATGATCATGGTTATTCTGTATAATTAATTGAAGCATGTTGTATCTTTCATAATACATAACATGGCCCAGGTATTGCAGCTTCCATATCTTGATGGTTTCCAATATTTCCATTCTTTTGTTGACTCTTCTCATGACTTTGTTGTTTGTTACATACTCGATCCATGATAGCTTCAGGATTCTTTTATACATCCACAGTTCAAATGCTTCCAACTTTTAAGTAGTTAATGCTTTAAGTGTCTATGCTTCTATCCCGTAAAGCAGAGTCGAGAAAATATAACACCTTGCCAGCCTAACTTATCAAGTCTAATTTCAGTTCTCTTGAACAAAGTACCTTTCTCATTTCATTGAAGTTTGTTCATGCTTTCTCTATTTGAACTTTAATTTCTTTGGAGTACTCGTTTGTGTGATTAATTATCGTACCAAGATAATTGTAGTTTTCAACTTGTTCTAAAGTTTTACCATTAAATGTCAGGCTTTCATTATTATTTTGGCTTTTTGATACCATCATAAATTTAGTTTTCTTAATGTTTATTGATAATCCATATTCTTCTCCATACTCATCTATCTTGTTCATTAGCTTTTGGAGGCCTTGGAGGTTGTCTGCTATTGTGATAGTATCGTCTGCATATCTAATGTTGTTAATTGGTGTTCCATTTATCTTTATTCCTGCCGTTTCTCCTTCAAGAGCTCTTTTCATAATTTCTTCAGAGTACGCATTGAATAGTAGTGGTGACAATACACACCCATGTCAAACTCCTCTTTTAATTTCGAACTCTTCTGATGTGTGTTCATTAATGCATATGTGTGCCTGCTGTTTATAATAATATAGATTTGTTATAATTCGAAGTTCATTGTATTGTAATTGTTTTGCTTTGAGGACATCCATTAGCTCCTTGTGGCGGATTTTATTGAAAGCCTTGTTTATCTGATAGCTTTTCATAGATTTTTTGGCTATTAACAAACTAATTTAAACAATTAGAATAATAAACGAAAATCTATGCAATATAAATTAGATAAGATATATAATATTAGATAAGAAACTGAGATTCAATGTTAGTTCAAATCTCAAGGTGTTGGAATATCAATGGAGATCTCCAGGACTAACAAGGAACAAAAAACAACAGGTAATGTTAGGTGGTAAAATAGTAAAATATAGATAACTAGAATTCGCTAGAGAAATAAAAAACTGAATAATTTCACTGGAAAAAAACATATTTCAGGCAAATGTACATTTTGGCGGAATAATGTTTAGAACAAAAAATAGACAATTTCAAAAAGTCCGGTCTTTTTAATGTGACTTTCTATGTGCCAATTGGAGAATATTTGATATGAGTGAGGAAAATTATGGCTACTGCTACGTTAAAGTTTAAGAGAACATACTGTGATATATGTGTAAAATATACTGTGCTACGATTGGCCTTGAACAACCATGTGACTTGCACTGGCAATTTACCAGCTCCCCATTTATTGACGGAATCGGTTCCTGTAATAGTTTGCTAGCGTAGCGCTGTTGCCGATATAAAATATGTTTTGTGCAGTTGTCGATTTATGATGCTCGTTTAGGAAGATTTACATTGTAATGTGTTCTTGTTTATATTACTCCTAGATCTGCACAAAATTCTCACGTTATATTCTTATTTCAAACAAACATTAATCTTGCTTGTTGAACTGAAGATCTTATCTACATACTTCTGAATACAATGTATAATCACATAAATCGAAAATTTTGGCTTAAAGTACCTCCTATTATGATTGTTTGGAAAGTACTGAACAAGAACAACATAATTTATAAGCTAATAATTTTGAAGCATATGAAATATGACACAATAGGATATTATTTTCAGTATATCAAGTTTGATAAACCACAATTTGTAAGTATGTTTATATACCATGACATAACAAAATACTTGAACATTGACTTGTAACAATTTCATTGCATGTCATCAATGATAAAACTTCATCATCATCAATATAATCATAAACATTATTGAAAAATGAAAAATTCAACAGTACCTACAAAAAATTATTGATGATATTAACTTTTTTGAACTCCCAAAATATGTCATGTCTTTTCTCACAGATGGAGCAGTAGATATTTTATTTTATATTTACTTTTTGAACTCAAACTTTCCTTGACACTTCTAATGTTATTACTGTAACAATATGAGCCCTTACATTACTTATTTTGCCTTTCGTTTCTTTCCCAATATTTTTATTTTTCCATATTGTTTTATTCAGGCAACCTGCGGCTCTATTTGCTCTATTCACTTGATCTTCCACTTCAGTTTTGAACTTTCTGTAGCTAGATAATGTGATGCAATCTTAGTACATTTGCTGTTATGTTATAACCATGCATTTTGTCTTTTTTGTGGAAATTAACATGTTAAATTTTCTGGTGGTTATATAAAATTGGTGTAAACCAATTACATTGTAAATCATCTTCACTTTGAGAGAGTTGGATTGCGTCGTCTGCAAAGCAGATGATTTATTAGAGAGGTATTAGAATGCTTGATCTCCATTTTTGAGAAATTCTGTTGTGTTCTATTTTTTTGGATTAGTTTTAATAGAGTTGCTAAATAATATAATGTTGAATAGTTAAATAATCTTACCTGAGTATTCAATTGGACTGCCGTTTCTGAAGAATTTCAATGTGGGGTATCCTCTAATGTTGAATTGCTCAGCAAGACTGTTTTCTTCTGTGGCATCAACTTTACCAAGTTTGATGTTGGATCCCTGTTCTTCTAGTTGTTTGGCAGCCTTAGCATATTCAGGGGCTAGAGCTTTACAGTGCCCACACCATGGAGCATCTGTAATAACAAAATAAATATATTTACAAAATTATCTATATAAACAAAAAAGTTTTCAAGTAATTTAACAATGTGAGTAAATGAATTGTGGAATTGTACGTTATTTTTAAAAATAAGGGTCAAATTGATAATAAATATATTGAAATAACTTTTCGAGTCTAATAAATGAAGAAATGACAACAATACACAGTGAGTAGTTTCCACAGAAGTGTGTGACACAATTAAAAAGCAAATAACAGAAAGGTTTTTCCTTCAAGTCCATTGACTAGTAGCAAAACAGTTTAATATATACAGGCATATTTTATATAATCCTAAAAATGTTCCTTTCGATATTATTCTGTCCCCAGATTATGAGCAGTGTTCGGGTGCTACAAGTTTTATCATTACTTTAAAGAAAAATTTATTAAATAGTGATCTGTTTAAGGGAAGAGGAAGAAGAGTTAAAGAGAAATCCTGAAATAAGTAATAGAGTAGCTCAAAATTTAATATCGACAAGGTATGAAAAGAAAACTTCAAAAAAGGTTCAGTGAAGTATATAATTATTTTAGAGATAACAACTGTGAGGAGATTCTAAATGACCCAAGTCAAGTATTTAATGCAGTATGGAATGGTATTTTTCGTTAATCCCAAAGGAAACTGAGTATTAAACCATTCAAAAAAAGGTTCAGTGAAGTAAATAATTACTTTAGAGAGCAAAAGAAGATAAAACTGTTTACCAACAAATTAATCTAGCTGAAAAATAATGTCTAACAGTTCTTATAACAAGTAATGCCATTGGTAAACTGACAGAACTCCAAAAAACGGCACTTAGTGCTCATGAAGAAAAGGGTATGGAGTTCATTTCATTCATTTTTGATAATAGGTTGACAATTCCTGGTACTTCTGTTCATGGATTGACATTCATCCCATTTAACATTACACACTAGTTGGTTTTGTACTGAACATGGTATTATATTTGTAGGCCTTCATCCAAATGTAACAGATTTGATTCAACCAATGGATTTTACTGTATTTCGTTCTTTGGAAGTGGGTTGGAAAGATGCAATATACCATTGGCAGATTAAAATTAGACTTCTGTTTAAAGAGAAATTCACTTATGTCCTACTACAGGAAAGAATAATAAAATAATTTGTGAAGAATGTTTCCAAAAATATGGCTTAGTTCATTGGAATGTTAGTGAGGGAATTGGGAATGTTTCCCAATAAGAAAATAAGACATTTTAAAGAAAGAGCAGGGACAGTAGGAAATGAAACAAAGCAAATACTTTATCAAAAAACATATTGATAAAGTAAAAAACTTCATTTAGAATTAATAATAAAGATGTCAATGTGATAAAATTTGTTCAAATTATAAAATCAATTACCAACCCTATGAGCTATTTAAATGTCAATTACTAACCCTTTAATGTGTCAACTACCCATTTTTTTCATTTTGTTGTCAACTACTGACACTTTGTAGCCCCTTCTTGTAAATTTTATAAAAAAAAAATTTTAAATCGCAATTTACTGATAATTTATTTGTTAAATGTTCAAAAGGTTAGATTACTTGAATATACAAAGTATATTTTGGAGTAAAGTTCAATATTATCAGTTTAATGCTAAAAAATACTTGTTTTTATTCTTATAATGTCAATTTTATAGTACATTTATTTATGGGATCAGAATTACGTCCACAGAAAATACATCATGGAAAATCAGTAACTGTTTCATCATTTCCCACTTTTAAATTTAAAATTTGATAAGATATACCAGTATCTTAGGTGTGGCACTATCGGCACAAAAATCATTTGAATTTCAACTTTAATAAAAATATATACTTTCTGTAAAACTAGCAAACTTAAGGTGATTGATAACAATAATTCTCATATATTTAAAACCAAAAATTCTGTTAGTACCTTTTTGCTGATAAATTTTCAATAAATTAATACTCGGCTAATTACCACAATATATCTGCCTTTGAAAGGTTATCAGTGAACATTGTTGATAAGACATTCTGACTATATTAATATATCCTGTAAGTTACAGATTAAACATACTACAAAAAAACACAAAATTTAATGAGCCAGATTGTTGAGTAACAGCTTTTGAATTTGTAAAAAATAATTAATATTTCTTAATGATGAAAAAATCAAGTTACATATGTACATTGAAATCCCAAACATTTATATATTCATAAAAACATATTTATGTAGAACATCATAGAAAAATAATTTGCTTTATAACATTTCTTCATATGGCAGTGTTAAAATATTTACACAACAGTAACATAATATGAACCTCAAAAAATTGAACAATGTGGTTCAGTTGAAATCCACAAAACCATAATTTCAAAAGAATATACAAGACATAAAGTCTATTAATCAAATATCAAGATACACAGTTCTGAGCTATATATCAAAGAATGGCTCAGGAAGACTTGTTAAGCTCTGATCTGATTAAGCCCATCATTAATGAAATTATCAACAAGGTTCAAATACAAGTATAGGATATAGAATTTTTTATTTTACAAGCAAAGTTAAGTATAGAAATAAACATAAGGATTTCATCTTAAAGAAAATGGAGTCTCGAGTCTTTAAGGAAAAATCAAGAATAAATAAAAATCACGAATCGTAATCACAAATCGTAATCACGAATCCATTATCAAAATACAGTTTTTATTAATTTTCTCCAAACTTAAAAGTGAGTGTTTTGGTTTGGACAATATGTATTTGCTGTAATAACTTTAAATGTTATGTAGATTGTATAATTTATTACAAAAAGTTTAGAGGATCTGTGGAGACTCATAATCAATTTAACAGCAAGAAATTTAATATGCTAATATCAACAAACTGAAAGAGTATGGTAATAAAAAATTCGATAAGATGAAAAATAAAAGCAGGTGGCCATTCAGCAAAAAGGGGATTTTAACTACAGTGTCAGTTATCCTAACTAATTTTGGGAGACATGGATGTTTGGAAAATCAGTTTTTTTTTTTGATAATCTAACTATACTGATATAGCCATACATATTTATCCACATATGTATTTATTTAATAACACATAAAAAGTGCAGTTTTTGCAACAAAACATATTCTAATTATAATATTGACAAAAATTCAGTATTTTTTATACAATAAATATGAACACTTAAAATCGCTGTATGCTGTCTGGACCTGGTGCTTTATGGTTTTTTAGGGACGAAATTGTGGACTTTACTTCAGCTACTGTCATGCGAGGGTTTTTCTGTATTTAAGAGTTGCTCAAAATAAAATTCCACGAGGAAACTAAGTTCCTGTAGATGGCTGTATACCATATATCACAAAAAATTTTTGTTTAAAATCCTTTATAAAAGGCATATAAAAATGCCTCAAACGGGCTATCACAAACACATTGCAAAACGTTTTCGGATTAAACAATCCATCATCAGTGCAAACAGTTGTACATGCTAGTAGCCACCAAAATATATGGGTAAAAACCCTTTAAATGTTTTAAATTTGAGGTTGTTTTACATTATTAGTATTTATAATTTGTGATGGTTAAGTTACTGTTGGATAGGTAACATGGCGGCGTATGACTCTACATGAGTAAAATGGTCCTGAGACGAAGTGTCTACGAGGTGAGTTGTTATCAACAGGTCTGTCATTTGACACCCAGGTTACTTTATGTATATCTTTTCTTTGGAATTGTGTAGTTTTTATTACCACTTTGTTGGCTACAGCGAATTCTGCCAGTCTTGATTAGTTATCATTAGTGTTATTATGTAAGCTGTGTGTGCTGATCACCACTCTAAAATGGTCCTCTTTACCTAGTTTGGCATTGAAGACTACCAGTATGATTTTGATGTCATATCTGGGTGTCATTGTCTAGTGTTGTTCTAAAATTTCATTGTCCTTGTCGTATTCATTTGCTTCTTCCGTTGGTGAATGGTTAACCTAACCTTCTTCTCATGGATTGAGAAGAGGGTTAGGTTAAACCATTTTCCTTTGAATCTTAGAGAGCACATGTGCTTGTTGATTGGTTTGAAATCAATTATAGCAAACTTGAGTTTTCCGTTAACTACAAACCCCCATCCAAATTCCACTTATGTATATTATGTATGATTGTCAAAAGATTAAATAAAAATAATTAAAATTAAAAAAACTGAAGGGAACCTACGCTAGCTCTGTAGGCAGGCACCTCATCATCTAGCACCAGGTCGATTAGGTTCATATAAATAAAGACAAGAAGGCAAGATCAAAAACGATTGTCCAGGAAAACACACTTTGGAATAGCAACAATACAGGGAAAACCCAGAAAAAGGGAAATTACAAAAAAATATGAACAACCTTGAACTTTCTTTAAAAAAAAATATAAATCATAAAACATGTTTTTAACTATTTATAAAAACAAAATTAACAAGTGCAGATGAATATTTCCATACTAATGAACTTGTTTCAAAAATAACTAAATTAACAACAAAAAACAATGAATTTAATCACACATATCCAGTAAACTCTTATTGCCTGGACTTGGTTACAATCTTAAAATTGTGTTAATATGTAATATTGTAATATGAAGAGAAAATTTGGAAAAGAAAATCTAATGTCTTAATTTTTGAGTTCATTCAACTCTTTCTGTATAATGAATGGTGTTATACTTCTAAATTCGGAACTATGTAAAACAGTTATGTTCCTTATAATTACATCTTGAATTAAAGTTTAAGTTTGGATTGAAACATAAATTCCTTAATTTTGAACATTTACCATTCCCATAATATTTATGTAATCAAGATTTAAAGCAGTTTAGCTCATATAAGCTAAATTTGATATAAAAATGTTCCGCTAGTATATTATACATAAAAAAATCAGAAATAAAAATGATATTGCATACTGGTTAGTTTCCCTTGTCCAAAATATACCCATCTAAATATTTTTTTAAGAAATCTATAAAAATTAGCTGCAGTTTTGTCAGACTTAATCGGAACGTTCTATTAAAGTTATATATACTTTTACCGATATTTTAATACAATGATAAGCTGATAAAGGTTAAACAAAAAAACTGGTGGTACTTACAAAATTCTACTAAGACAAATTCATTCTCCTTGATGACTCCTTGGAAGTTGTCTTTGGTGAGAACCAAAACTCCATCTTCGGTTTTGATATCTTCTGCGGCAAAAACAGCATTCAAAAAGAATACCAGCAGAAAACCGGTCCGGAACATATCGAAATTTTTCCTGTTAAACCTACAAATGATATATGAAACTAAATTGAAAATATTCACACATCAACGTGGCACCAGCCAGGAAATTGGGAACTGGCCGAATCGACTACTGAATGAAAAGAAGACCGATCCCGTTACCGGAGTCTGTTTTTAATAAGAACTTAATTTTGCTGACAAAGCAACAAACACTTCGTGTGGGGATCTGATTGGTCAGAGGCAACATATAAGGATAGAGGATACACGGTTCTGATAACTGTCAATGTCAATGTAAACTTATGCCAGGGAATTAAAATCGGGTAGTGTCTATGCGTACGACATTAACGGAAAATAATTCATTCTTCTTGCTAAGAATTACGACATATTATTTTATATTTAGCTCTATCCTATCTGGAGCAATTATTTAGACCTAGAATAACTGCTATTTAAATACAAAACAACGAAACAAAAATAAAATGAAATAAATTTTATATTGGGGAGATTAAAACATTGAATAAAAATTTTTAAAAAACCAAAAAGTTGATTAAATTTCTACGTCGTACACGTAACACAACAACTTTTGTTTCCTATAGTCAGAGACATTTTAGTAGTAGAATAAAAAGACATTGCAGCTGTTTTGCCATTCTTTTCTACTCAGGGGACAGTTTTTTTTCAATTGAATGTCAATTTTTCTGGCTTAAATTTAAGGTAAGGTGCTATGTATAACTAAAATAGAAACGTTTAAAATGGTTTTTAAATTTTTACTATTATAGGGTATTTTAATGGAAAGGCTAATGTTCCTCTTTATGTAGCTGAAACTACCCTTCGATAGGGCAGTTTCGACTATTTGTCAAAAGAAAATAAAAACCTAAAATCGTAAACTGATTCTTTCAATTCAGATTTTAAACTCTTAAAACAAGTGTCCAATAAACTACAGTTTTATTTAAAATTACCCGTTTTTATTTATACTTTGACTTTATTTATGTTTGGCTTCTAAAGGTTGATATGAAGAATGCGGACCACTTTCTTATGTTGAGGCCGCTGCTATCTTGAGAGAGGAAAGTATTGGTATGCTTCCTTTCTCTGCTATGATTCATCGAAAGCGTTTATATAATATATGTCTTCTCGACTGTCCCTTATGTCTTCCTCAATATTTTATCTTCGATTCTACGATATCAATGTAACTTTTTAGTTGAAGCTAAATCCATGCTTTTAGCTTTTTCCTCCACTCTTTTGTGGAACATATTATATTTATATTTCCCTTTTTTACTATATATCATATGAAACAGAAGCATGACACTTTTAACCTACATTAAAATATCAAAAACTTAACGGGAGGAAACGAATCACGAAGTCATAACTTATTACTAGACGAGCACAACGATCTACTCTACGAAAATGAGAGAATACTTGAGAGATGGAGGCAATACATGGAAGAATTATTCAAGGAAGAGCAGGAAACAGAAGTCAGTGTTTCTGGATGTTCAGGACCAGAAATAACGCTTAGTGAAGTAACATATGCAATAAAAAAACTAAAAACCAAACAAAGCACCTGGACCTGATAACATGCAAGCTAAAATATTGAAACTATTTGAAAACAACCGAGGAAATAAAAAGGCGAATAATAATTGCAAACAGGTGTTATTATGGTCTATCAAAGTACTTAGCTAACAAACGTCTGTCTCAAAAAGTCGTATAAGGCTGTATAGAACACTGGTAGTCCCCGTTCTCACATACGGATCAGAGGCATGGACGTTAACGAAAACAGATGAATCCGCTCTATCCATTTTTGAAAGAAAGATGCTAAGCAAGATATTCGGAGCGGTCTGTGAGAACGGAATATGGAGGCGTAGATATAACTTCGAACTGCGGAATATCTACAAGCATACGTTTGGTGGTAAAGATATTACCACTATAATTAAGCGAAACCGCCTGCAGTGGGCAGGACATGTAGCCCGGGCCCCTGAATCGAACATGATAAAAAAGATTCTAACAGCGCAACCTGTGGGAATGAGACGACGGGGTAGACCAAAGCTGAGGTGGATGGATGGGGTAACACAAGATGCGGAGAAGATCGGAGTCGGCAACTGGAAAATTCAAGCAAGGGACAGAACAGAATGGCGTAGAAAGCTTGAGAAGGTCGAGGCCCTTTAAGGGCTGTAGCACCAAGATGATGATGATGATTTGAAAACAACCAACTCAAACTCCTAACGAGTCTACTGAACAAAATCTATGAAACTGCAGAATTGCCTACAGATTTTCTAGTTTCCACCTTCATCCCTCTCCCCAAAAAGGCAAATGCCACCAGATACTCTGATTACAGAATTATAAGCTTAATGAGCCATGTACTCAAAAGCCTTCTTTTTGTTATTCACTCCCGTATATATATATAAACCTAGAAGAAAACATTAGCAGTGTTCAGTTTGGGTTTAGAAGTGGACTGAGAACGAGAGAGGCCTTATTTTCCATATAAGTATTGATACATAGAGCTCGAGACATAAATTGTGAAGTCTACGCATTCTTTATAGACTTTGAAAAGGCATTTGGCAAGGGCCAACATCGAAAATTATTTCAGATACTGAAAGAATCTAGTATTGATGACAAACATTTACGCCTAATTAAAAATTTATACTTACATCAAAGGGCAACTGTACGAGTAAACAACGATACGTCACAAGAATTCACGATAAAACGGGGAGTACGTCAGGCCTGCATTTTGTCACCGACGTTGTTCAATACTTACTCGGAAATGCTGTACAGGGAAGATATTGAGGCTTTAAGAGAAGCTAATCAATGGTGACATCATAAACAATTTAAAATATGCGGCGATCCTGTGATAGATATGGCATGAAATTAAACTATAACAAGTCCAAAATTCTTGTAGTAAGTAAAAACGACGTAATACAGCACCAAATTACATATCTTGGATGCAGCCGAAATAAGGAATGGGACCACTCACAGGAAATAAGATGTCGTATAGAAAAGGCGAGAAATGTCTTCAATCAGAAGTATCAATAAATTCAACTAATTTTACAAGGCAAGATAGAAGTCAAAAGATCTCAAGGGCACAGAAGGACATCGTGGTTGAAGAACATCAGACAGTGGGCAGGAATGACTACCATACATCTATTTAGAGTAGCTGTCAACAAAGTTGTATGGAGAAGATAAGAAAGTTAGAAGCTATTAAAAAATATTCCCTTTTATCATTTTTGGTATTGCTTATTTTTTATTAATTATCTTTTGTGACGAGTATTTTTATTCCACAATTATGTTTTCTATTCACATAAATAGTAATTATTTTTGTATTTTTTTAAAAATTATTATCAAGACCACGTCGTCTACAACGAATATTTATTTTATCTGGTTGATTATTCACGTCTGACACGTACGTATTCCTAGACATCGCTAAATTTAGCTACACAAGATCCTGTACATAGGCAGCACAAACAACAAATTCAATTTAATATTTAAATATTTTATTTTTAATGTAAACCATAATATTGGACTTATACTTTTTAAATATGTATTTTAAAAACTTTATCTAAATAGGTACATATTTATCATTCCCGTTGAGGGTCGCAGTTTTTATTTTATAAAAACATTACAATAATTGAAATGACCAGGTTTTGGCACGTTTTAAAAGCAATTTATTGTAATATATGAATAATTTAGTTAATAGATTTTATTTTTGGATAATTTAGATGATATTGCTACCAAAAAAGCAAGTAACAACTATATTTGTTAACTTTATATGAGATATCTCTAATTTGCTGTGGCTCGAGATTCAACAATTCGCTTTGTCCAACGATTGTATACCATTATTCCTATTTGGCCTGTAGAGTGCCATTTTAAAATAGTAATCTATGTAATCTGTCATAGTAATCTATTTTATATTTCAAACGATCACATGTCACGGGAAATGCATTTAAAAAGACGGTTTTGGGTGTAGTTTATTGCAGAAGTTTTGCTCTTTTGAGAAAGGTGCCTACTAGTGTAATTGAAAAAAAAAGTTTTAAATGTTTTAGATTGTTTGTTGTGTGAAAGTTTAAATTCAGCGTTTTTTTAAGCATATTTAAAGTACCTCGCATTTGTTGCCAAAATTCAAACCTAACATTTCATAAGGTTTAAAAGGATAGGCTCTAGTAATCGAAACTTCATAGTGACCAGTCAATGAAAGGGATAGATTGTATTGATCTCGTGAGAATTATAAAAATGGCAAATATCGCGCCACGTTTATTTATTTAACACCTGTATGAAATCTGAGTCTATTTGCGAATGAAAGCATATGAAAGCTGAACTCTTTGCCTTTAAAACGCATCTTGATTTTTGCCGATAGGTCACTTGAATCAAAAGATATCGAATTTTTACCGTCGAGCCAATACAAATTTTATTGAACATTGATTTCCTGCACGTAGGGAAACCCGGAGGCATCTAAACATTCCGTATATGTATTTGGCACCTAGAACTTTTCTATTGGTCCTTTGCGGCACGCGGCCATGTTTCAACCATTTGACGGCGAGGTTCCAAACACATATATGGAATGTTACTTTGGTGCTAAATTCATATTCGGAATGTTAAATCTTCGCAGACCAAAAAAGACGACTTTTCAACAAAATCAGAAAAGGAGAGTAATTTTAAAATATTTGTTAACGTATTATTAAAGAGAGTAAATCAGTGCAATAGGAAATAAAACAAAATATATTATTTAAAAAAATAATAAAAAATTTTAAATTTTTAAAATGTTATATTTATACGAAATTTATTGTCCTTTGCTATTTTTAGTTGCGTTTGTTTGATTTGCTGCGATGTTAGACAAAAGATTGTAACGTCTTTTGAACCTCTTCTTTTCTTAGGTTGAACTTTAGGTGGTTGTCCAAATGGTAATCTATTTGACCTTGTAGTAACTTTCTTCTAGAATCTAGGTGGATTACCATTTGGATAACCACCTAAAGTTAGGTCCTAGATACCTCACTCTAAGGTAAAAACGAATTCAGTGTTAAACTCCGCCCACTTACACCTCTTTGCCCCTCACGACTAAGTACTACCTGACTGTATGGTGGCGACATTAATTGAAATATTTGCCAAGATTGAAAAATAAATTTAAGTTGCCTGGTCCGGCTATTGTGCTATTGTTTAGTGCAATAAACGACAATATAAGGATGACATTCAGCATTTTCACAAATAATTTTAACGTGATTGTAATCTATATTATGAAATTCCGATTTTACTTTAGAAATAACGCTAAAAGTTGATTAATG